GTCTGATGCTCCAGTGAACTTTTAAAATCCCTAGAGGGTGGGGTTCTGGGACCTCTGTCTGTGGCCCTAGTGTCTCTTTTGGCATAGAATGGCTTTCTCTCTCCCCCCACCCCCCTCCCCACAGGGTTTCTCTTTGTAGTTTTGTAGATCAGGCTGGCCTCTGCCTCCTGAGTGCTGGGATTTAAGGAGTGGGCCACCACCGCCTGGCTAGGATGGCTTTCTTGACTAAAAATGTTTTGAGGAACTTTTGGGAGAAACAGCAAGTTACTTCATGAACTTGTAAGCTCATATTGGGGTAGAGACATTTTGTAGGGGCAAGTAAGTAGTTTAACCACAGTTGTGCTTTGGTATCAGCTTGCCTCAGCCCCACAGTGCTGATTTTGTTACCAGGAAGTTGGTTTAGTTTTTTTGGTTTTTTTTTTTTGTTTGTTTGTTTTTGTTTTTTTTTTCTGAATCTGTTTCTTTCTCCTTTATTTTATAAACTTCAGCTTTGTCAGAGGATTCTATCTGGAGTCATTGTTAAATATGTTAACAATATCTTTGGTCATTTAGCAAACTAAGCCATGAGTCAAATTCAGCCTAATTCACTCCATCCCTCCCTGTCTCCCTGTCTCCCTCCCTGCCTCACTCACTCCATCCCTCCCTCCATCCCTCACTCACTCCTTCCATGCTGCCCTCCCCACTCCTTGAACAGCCTGGCTAGATGCTTATCTATTTATCTTATTTACCAATTCCTGACTATGCTAGTTTTCTGTTTGCTTCTTATTACTTTCTTCTACTTACTTTAAATTTAGTTACCTGTTTTTGTTAATGAAGTTTTATTGGGACACATAATCATACTGTTTATGCATTGTCTTTGGTTGTTTTGTGCTAGGTAGTTGAATAGTTGTAACAGACAGCCTAAAATATTTACTGCCCAGCCCTTATGAGACGATGTCTTAGTTAGGGTATCTGTTTGTGAAATGACACCATGACCACGGCAACTCTTACAAAGAGAAACATTTAATCGGGGCTGGCTCACAGTTTGAGTGTTTAGTCCACTATCATCATGGTGGGAAGCATGGTGGTGTGTGAACAGACACAGTGCTGGAGAAGGTCCATCTTAATGCACAGACAACAGGAGGTGAACTGTGTACCTCACTGAGTGCAGCTTGAACAAAGGAGACCTCAAAGCCCACCCTCAAAGAGACACACTTCCTCCATCAAAGCCACACCTATTAGTGCAATTCCCTTTGGGGCCATTTTCTTTCAGTTCACAGAAGAACTTACTGAGTCTTGCTTTAAATGGTGGATGCTGACAACATATGATGAAAGATATCGTGGTGAAGAACGAGCACGGGCATGAAAGGTTTAAAAGGCCCAAGTCTCCACTTACCACCTGAAGACCTTTAGGCCAGCCAAATGGAGTTCTTTGCTATCTTTTCTTCTTTTGAAAAATGGGTGTTGAGAGCGTCATAGTTGTAGGGAAGTTTTAATCACCACTCTTGAATGCATCTGTGGAGGGTCCTGTGTGTTTCTTCTGAGCAAGCCGCCCACCATTCTCCATGGATACAACTCATCATGGCTGCCTTTTGCTTTCTCAGGAAGAAGAAGCCAAGAAGCTGGTGAGTGAGGCTATCGCAGCTGGCATCTTTAATGACTTGGGGTCTGGAAGCAACATCGATCTGTGTGTCATCAGCAAGAGCAAGCTGGACTTTCTTCGTCCATACTCAGTGCCCAACAAGAAGGGGACAAGGTAAGGGAAGGTGATGGCACTTTTCCTGTGTCCTGTCACCTTTGGAATCTCCATGCCATCTGGATTGGGCTTTCTGCACACCTAGAAAAGCCTGTGTTCTAAAGCAGCTTATACAACAGGTCTTGAGTCAAGGCTACTACTATATGATCACAGGCTGTGGTCAGGCATAGAGAAGTGTCTTCGTCTATCATGTCAGCAGGAGAGAGCTTCAGGCTGAGAGCTGGGTCATAGAGGTTTCTTCTCCCTGCCTCCCCTCAGGTTTTCTTCAGCATCTTAAGCCCTGAATGGAATCTTGTGAGGTATTTGGGTTTTGTGGTAGCCAGCCCACAAACTTTGTTCAGGCTGGCCCAAGACACCCTAAAGGTTCTAAGCCTGTGGCTAGGAGCCTCTGAAATGTGGCCATGGTGGCTACCAGTGTTGTTCATGCTAAAAGGGAATTGTGCCACTTAACCTGTGTCCTGTGCTCTATGGATGCTTCACCTCAGTGATGTAAGCCAGGATCTAAGCTGTGAGGTGATGTTCTAGATCTAGGCCTAGTACCTGGCACCTGCATTTGCTTGTACTGATCGAAAGAAAGCTCTTATGGGTATTCAGCTGCTTTAGCACTGTGGGTCCAGAGTTCTGCTTTTAGCCACAGTCACCTGAGTGAGTCAGCAATAACTGGGCCTGGGCTCTGGTTAGTAGCACAGAACCTGGAAGGCTTGCTCCTATATCCACTGAGGAGCCCTAGTTCTAGATTCATAAGGAAAGGATGGCTTTCAGTGCCAGCAGCTCTTTGCTGTAGGCTTCTTTCAGCATTGTGGAAGCTTAGTGTCCAGCGGTGGGTTAAGGTCTGGGGTGGCCACTGTTTGGCATGGTGGCTCTGGGTATCAGTCTTGTATTTGAAATGATAGAGGTAGGCTAGTGTGATCTGAGTTCCCCAGGCCTTGAGTGAAATGGGAAGCCCCCTTTAGTATACAGGCTGGTTTGGGAGAGCGGCTTCTACTGAAGGATGCTGATCCTTTGGGCAGAGAACTGGGGAGTTCTGCCCCATGTGGACTGAATTGTCAGTCCCCAGGTGGAGAATTCTAAAAGCTACCTTTGAAAACTGGGTGTGGTTGCAAAAGGTAGGTAGCACTGTGGGGCCGGAGATGTGATTTTGTGGCAGAACACTTGCCTAAAATGTGAGGCTCCAGGTTCCATCCTAGCCTTTGGGGTGGGTATGGACCCAACAAGGTGACAAGGGGGCTAGCTGGTAAGGTGATAAGGAAGGGGCTTAGCACAGGAAGATATGCATTAATCTGCCTTGGGACAGAACCAATTATCTACACACTATAGAATCCCATTGTCCTTTGGACTACTTAATGGTTGTAAGAATGCTGCCTAGATAAGGGAACCCTCCCCAGAGCAGACAACAGGTAACAGGTGGGGGCAAAGGCTTGCCAGTTGCTCTATGCCCATCACCACTATGGACCTGGCTGCTGCCCTGCATGCTACTAAGGCCAATAGCCTTACCCAAAAGGTACAGGAGCTCTTGTGTCCACTCCCACTAAAGACAGAGTAAAAATCAGATGAGTCAGCTTCTTGGGCCACTGGGACTTTGGTCTGAAGGCAGCACTTAACTGCCAGTAGCCCAGCCTGGTTTGTACCAAGAGACATCTTTAAACCTTAAGGGAACAAGGACAGATGTGTTTTGAAAAAGTGTGCCTTCTAGAGTCCACCTGAGCATCAGGTACCCTTTCTTCTGCTCCCTTTTGGAGCCCAAGTGCCTGTTTGAATGGACAAATTTCCTAGGAGCATATGATCATGGCAGGTCAGGTGGGTGTGTGTGGTGGTGATCCCCTATGCCCTTGCAGAGACACTTGGCCTTGTGTGTTTGGAAGTGATGAGCCTGGAGCTTGGCTGTGGACTATGTTAGTTGTATTGCTGGTGCTTTTGGAGTTGTAGGGCAGAAGGTCATACTGTGTCACATTGCTGCACAGAAGGATGTGTGTTTTAAGTAACAGCCTGAAGTCAAATGACCAAGTAGTTTCTAGCATGTACGGAGGACGGTGGAGTGTGGAAGGAAAATGGAAAACCAGTGCTTTTTCTGTTCCTCTTAAGTGTTGTCTGACACACACCCCCCTCAAATATCCCCATTTTGTGATATTTGGAAGTGAAGGGCAATTGACTCCCTGAAGCCACAGAGCTGGAGTTCTCAGAGCCAGGACTCCTGTCAAGCCTGTTGCTGTCTGGGCACAATGTCTCTGTCCTGGCCTAACTGCTTTTGTTTCTCTCATTAGGTTTGGCCGGTACAGGTGCGAGAAAGGCACTACAGCGGTCCTCACTGAGAAAGTCACCACTCTGGAGATTGAGGTGCTAGAAGAGACTGTCCAGACCATGGACACTTCGTGAATGGTGCTGGGGTAGTTGGTTATCTCTCTGGATGACTGGGGTACAGCCTGCCCCACCCCACCCCACCCCACCCAAAAACACACATTCAGCTACTGCTTGCTGAGTGAGGCTCAATTAAAAAAAGATAAAACCCCAGTGAGTGGCTGTAATGTGTGGACTGTGGGTCTGGGCTCCAACTGACCTGACTCTCCTTCTGTGTCAGTGGTGTGGCCTGAAACCAGATTGGGTTCCTTTGGCTCTCCAAATGAACGTGTGTGATCCAGGCCTGTGCTTGCTTACTTCATCTTCACTGGGGGTGGCGACAGGGGTCTGTCAAGTGGAAAGTAACGATCGAGTCTTGGCCTGTGGCATGGCCCAGTCGATGGCTTGCCGTGCATGCACAAGGCCCAAGTATACCCATACCTTGCCCCTGCATAACACACCAGACAGACACCTTCAATTTGAGTTCTTGGGTATATACATGCTCAGGTCTAGAGAAAGGTAGATGGAAACTTGGCTTTCCCATGGATGTGTGAAACTGGTGAGCTGCACTCTGGCCATTCTCATGACAATCAAAGGAATGCTTGGGGTTTGCAGTTTTGTAATAATTAGGACGTAGCATTGTACTGCCTCTCTGGATGGTGATTGGTGAACTCTGGACATCCCAAGGGTCATTTTATTGGGCAGATGGTTCTCTTGGTATGGATAATAGTTGGAGTACTGAAATTAAGTTGTTTATTCTACAGAGGCTATTTGTGCCAAGGACAGGTAGAACAGAGCCTCTTTCCAAGAGTAAGGAAAACTTTCAGGAGTTGGTGCTGGGCAGGAGAAAGACTCTGATCCTCCCCAGAGTGAGTATTATGGGTTGGGCCACTGGAGGCCCACTTACCGTATGGAAACTGCTAGAGCCAGCTTGAGAGAATGCAGTAGATTTATTGAGGGTGGCAGCTTGGCTGATTCTCAGAATTACTTGGGGAACTTAAAAATATTCTGGTATTCCTTGGAGTGTCTGGGGTCTGGCCAGTTGTTTCTAAAGGTGCCTCAAGAAGATATGCTGCTGTTGTGTGCTTGGTTTGGTCTGCAGTTCAGGAGGGTGCTGACTTGCTGTTAGAGCCAGCCTGAGGTGCTCAGCAGTCACTCCTCTTCCCACTTTGTCTAAAACACAGAGAGCTTGCTCTGGGCAGAGGCCATACCTGGAGTGCATAGGCCAGTGGTTCTTAACCTTCCTAAAGTTGTCACCCTTTAATACAGTTCCTCATGTTATGGTGACCCTCAACCATAAAGCCACTTTTGTTGCTACGTTATAACTAATTTTGCTACTTTTATGAACCATAATGTAAATATTTTTTGGAGGTAGAGGTTTGCCAAAGGGAATATGACCCAGATTGAGACCATTGTTATAGTAGAACAAAATAATTCAGACAGTTTCCTCTGGCACTTAAGTTTCCTTAAATTCACATTTATAAATTAGTCTTCACAGTTAATCCTATTGAGAACAAAAAGTAAATGAACATATTTCTGCTTTTCCTGCACATAATACAGTTGTATTTTAATTCTTGATTCTCATGGTCCACGGACTTGAGTTTTCTGAAAGGGTGACAGGCTGCATTTTTGGATCACCTGCCACTGCTGGCTGATTTGCATCTCGTGTTTTTTTGTTTTTTACATTTGAGATAGGATCTTATGTAGTCCAGTCCAGTCTCAAACTTCCCATATTGCCTAGGGTGACCCTGGATTCTTGATCCTCCTGCCTCTACCTCCCAAGTGCTGGGATAACAAACTTAGGCTGCTGTGTCTAAGTAACATCTTTTGTTTGAGATTCTGTCAGAAAAAAAACAACAAACTTGCCCAAATCACACTAGGAGGGTACAACACCAGAATCTGAAAAGACCAGTGTGAAGGCAAAGCTCTTGGATTTTTCTTACCATCTCCCCATGAAAATGCTTCACACTTATCATACAGTGAGCCACAGCATTCCAGGAGGCGATGGTACATGGCAGGGTTCAGAAGAGGAGGACCCTCCTGTCTCCCAGACACCATGCATCTCAATGCCAATGCTGGCTGCTCCTCACTGTCACTCATCAAGTTATAAAATGCAGAGAAAGTATTAGCAAAATCTCTACTCTAAACCATTATTTCTATTGTATCCCCTTACAAGAGAGAGTAAATGAAGCACACAGCCTGGTTGTATGGAAAGGTACCAAGAACTAAATCAACGGGTGTTAACCATTTGCAAAGGCTGACACACACCAGTCACCCTGTTTGCTACAAGTCTGACAGTGTGGGGCCTGGACAGGTCTGAAGAAACCAGGCCGAGGTTCACATTTCAGTTGGTACAGGGAGCTTCAGTGACTGCCCTCACTAATAGGCCAGCTCAGAGTTGTCTGCAAGAGTTCAAAGAAAGGACTTTGGAGATTGACCATAACCCAGCTGCTTTCAGCTCAGTGGCAGAGGCAGCCGCCTTTGGTAGCCTGCTGAGCCCTCTGGTCTTGGCTGTGGGAGTTTCCTGGTGCCACTTGGGGAGAGGACTCAAGTAAGACAAGTGGTGTTTAGCTTTGATGAGGCATGCTGCATTCAGGTGCTGGATGCCCAGACATGCATCTGCCTAGCCACCTGGTGCACATATACGATGTCAGGCCGGTGATTGGGGTCAGGGTAGATACACATACTGACCAGTTCCCGCAGCTGCAAGGAAAGAGCAGTTCTGTCAGTCTTACAGTACTCAGGTACTTTTACCCACATCCACATGTGGCAGACCACATGGTACCTCAGATGGTAGTGTTGTCCCCTTCCAAGTGAAGAGTGCTTTGAAGGATAAGATATATGGTCACACAGCTCTTGGGGTGGCCAGGTCCATGCATGCCTAGGCCTGTCTAGTTCCAAAGGTGATGCTTTGAGACCCTGAGTTGTTACCCTCAAATAATTTCCAGTTTTCACCTATGCACACCTTTGTGCAGATTTGTGAGTATGAGTACCCTGTATACATGTGTGTCTGCTGTCAGTCACACAAAGCCCAAACCAGAGAAAACTCAAGGAAAGAGCTTATTGATCATAATAAATGCATTAACATGCAGTAAGGCTACAGTCTGAATACCCCCTGGCCTCTTATTGTGCTCATGAAAGACATGCTTTTAATTATCCAGACACTGAGGCTTCACCCGCTAGGGTGGAGGAGGGGCACTTAAGCCTCTGATCCCTCTCGTTCTGATAGCCAGAGTGCTAGTTATTTTAATGGTAATTAAAATAATGACCTTAAAAAAGCCTGGGTCTTAAACGTGCAACACTGGGCAGGCTGTTTCCATCTCAGTGCCTGCTGCTGGGGCACTGGTGGTGAACAGAAAAAGCCGGGGGAGGGGGGGTCCTGGACCAGAGAGCTCTAGGTCTCAGGAGGCAGAGCCTGGGGCTACAAGCATACACCTTCAGCTAGGGGCCAGTCCTGGACTTCCTGCCACACTGAGCTGGCTTAAGTGGCCTATAGAACCATAGGGTGTGCCTCCCTCCTTTGCCTGGTCATTTTGTGGTCCGACTGTTTTATAAACACCGAAATCCATGAGCAGATGAAAATGGTGCTTGTAGCACATCTGGAGTCCAAGGTCACCTACAAACAGTGACTTCTGAAGCTGCTCTGCAATGGAACCATGGCTGACCCATCAGGTGAAAATATGAAAAACACGTCAAGGTAAAATCTGTCCTGCAACTACTTAGAAGCAGAGTACATAGTTACCAGTCATAGGGAGAAACAACAACAAAGACAAGACACCTTAAAACACAATAGAGCTTTAAAAGTGGAGTGTATTTAGGGATACACCCTGTGCTGAATAAGAGGGTCTGGAGCCACTACCTGCCGGGGGCATGTGCTAGTGAGACAGAATGTCTGCCCTAGGAGATAAAGCTAAGGGCTCTGGAGGCTTTCTTTCTGCCTTGCAACTGAAGTGGAATGGACGGTATCCCCTGGCAGACTGGCACAGGAGCACACAACTCATTACAGCCAAGTTGCAAATCTTTTTGTAGTGTGGAAGTTGTAGTTTAAACAAAGAAAGGAACACGCCAATGAACAACGAATTTTGTGAAGAATGTAATCCGTTCTTCCTTTGCTCCAGCCTGTTCTTCAGAACACAGATCTTTCCGTCGGAGGGGCTAGTAAGAACTCCTCATACCACTGGAGCCGACTCCTGACCTCCCCACCCCAGGGGTGGTGCTCTGCATGTTGAGGACCAGTGAACTGGAGGCTGGCTTGAACCGCCTAGGCTTTCCCAGCATACATAAAGTGTTACTTGTAAAGCCTCAACTCATCTGGATGGTGGGCTCTCCTCAGCGCAGAGGTTCTCAACCTTCCTAATGCTGCAGCCCTTTAGTATAGTTCCTCATGTTAGGCTGAGTCGCGACCATAAAATTACTTTTGTTGCTATTTCATAACTAATTTTGCCACTGTTATGAATTGTAATGTAAATGGTCTTAGGTGACCCCTGTGAAAGCATCCTTTGATCCCTCAAAGAGGTTGCAACCCAAAGATTGAGAACACTGCCTTAGTAGACACATAATGAGGGAAAGGTTATATACATGTGAGCCATTATCATGAGACAGTGGCCTTGGGTTCTGAAGAGTGAGAGGCAGACCTCAGACCCTCAACAGACATGACAGGTGATATTTAGCAACATTTACATAGAGCTGTGTTACTTCCAATAGATACTTTGGATGGTGGTGGTGGATGCTGGTTTGGCTCTGCTAGGCAAGATACATGTATTAATCCTTATGAACCTGGACAGGAGATTCTAGTTTTGTCCCCATGTTATAGATGAGGAAAACAAGACTCTAAGGGTAATGAAGGAAGCATATAGACCTGTCTTGACTGTTCCCTGAACCAGGAATGTGCCAGGCGGCCTATCAGTCCCCCCTATTCATGAGGGAGATATAATTTAACCCATCTGAAGATGACCTTCACACAGCCAGTAACTGTCCAGAGCACCTGCACTCAGCATGAAATGTAAAAGTCAAAACTCCAGGGTTACAGGCCTGTTACATGGAGGAGACCAACTAGCTAGCCCAGAGTTCCTGCCTCTCACCCCCCACTACTCAGTGCCCCTAGGCTGGCATCAGGTCCTACTGCAGCTGTGTGCTGCTGCATCCTACAAGTCTCCGGCACTTCAGCACCACCCCTCCTGGAAGTACACCTCGCCCCTCCCCCACTCACCTTTTCAGAGTAGTGCTCCCCTGGGAGAGGTGGGTAGTCACACTGCTCTATCTTCTGGCACAGGGAGAAGAGATTCATCTTATCTCCATAGAAGGGGCTCTGGAGAGCTGCCATCTGCAAGGGAAGGGACCAGCCATCAGCCGCAATCAATGTCTAAAGGATTTCAGAAGCCAGAGGGACTACTGGTTGGTCTCCATTGTACTTGAGTGTCTGTGGGCTTCTCCCTCTCTGGAGCCCAAGGAGGTTGGGATTGCAATAAGGAAGTGCTGTTGACTCCTGAGGCCACATCCCTAACTCTCTTAGGCCTCCTCCCAAGGACTAGCTGACAAGAAAGAGACTCTGCTCCCTAGGCTCTGCCTAAGCCTAACAGGTTTTCTTACTTTTTTGTTTGTTTGTTTTGTTTTGTTTCTCTGTGTAAACAGCTCTGGCTGTCCTGGAACTCCCAAGTGCTGGGATTGAAGGTGTGTGCCACCACACTGCCCATCAGATTTTCTGGCTGTCCTGGAACTCCCAAGTGCTGGGATTGAAGGTGTGTGCCACCACTACCCATCAGATTTTCATCTGTCTCTGTCTGTCTGTCTCTCTCTCTCTCTCTCTCTCTCTCTCTCTCTCTCTCATCCTCAGGGGCACTATCCACTTCTTGAAGACATGGTCTGACATGACACTTGTCACTGAGTGATAGGCTAGGCTGGCTGGCCAGTGAGCCTCAGAAATCAACCTGTCTCCACTTACCCAGTGCACATGCACAGCACACAGCTCTTTCAGCATGCCAAGGGTTCTAATCCAAGTCCTGCATGCAAGGCAAGCACTTTCAACTGAGCTCCTTCTGCCCATCTCTGTTTGAAGGTCTCACTTCGAATCCCAGGCTGTCCTGGGACTGTGTCATTCAGGCTAGCTTAATTTGTGGTAATCCTGCCTCACATTCTTGGGTGCTTGGGTTACAGGCAAGTGATCCCATACTTGGCTCTGACGGACTTATCTAAAGAGTGGTGGCAACACCATTCTTGGGAACATGACTACCTGAAAGATAACTTGAGTGAAAGGTCTTGCATGAAGGGCTAATGCTCTTGGGACAGATGTGGAGAGGGAGAGGTGTAACCATTTCCTTTACTGCTGTCTGCAGCTAGTGCCCTCTCTCTGGGAAGCTCCAGGGTGGAGAGAAGCTGGGCTCTGCAGTTGGTGGATGTTAAGTTGGAAGCCCCAGCCTACAAGGTGTGGCAAGGCTCAGACACCACCCTGGGCACCTTAAGAGAGGCAGGCTGATGATCACTGGGGAGTGACAGGACTGTTGGACAGTGGCCCTAGTGTGTTCGCACCCAGGGAGAGAACTTTCAGGCCTCCCTCTTCCTGAAGTATCCACATTTCCTACCATGTTCAAGGCACCTGGGGGAAACCTCAGGGAGGGTCTGCAGGAGCATGGGGGTAGCCCGGCATGGCACCCAAGAGCCCCATCTGCTGATAATCCATAATGGCATTCAAGTATTTCTTTGTCACTCTGATAATCCATAATGGCATTCAAGTATTTCCTTGTCACTCACTTCCTGTTACCTCCTGACAAAAGACAACCTAGTCCTTTCTGCTAGTGAAGAGCCATTGGCCTTTGTCATGCCCTACCCAGTCCAGGTCCAATCTGTTTGACTCCCTACTGGGGAGCCAGCCTGCCAAGGCCTTTGCTTTGGCTCACTGGCTGAGGTCCCTTTGGCCCTGGCCTTGGCATACCCTAGGAGTCCTCTGGACTTCTGTTTGGGGAGTGGGCCAGCTTAGGGCAGGAGGGAACTCAGGGAAGCTGTATGACTGTCAGCTTTAGTTTCCTGGTCCACCCTCACCCTCTGTTCACCCCTGGGATAAGCCTGGTTCCAAGAACAGAAAGGACCATGGGTAGGACAGTGGGGTCTACAGATGGCTTCAAAAATAGGGGGCACTGGTTTAGGGTTTGATGCAGGAGTTTACCCTGGGCTAGGCAAAACATATGTAGATAGGTAGAGAGGTTTTCGGAACTGTTGACCTTGGGTTCCTCAGAGGTGGTGGGGACACATGAGCCCCACTGCACAACACTGCTGCAGTGACCTATACTAGGCAGGGAACGGCAAGTACACAGGAGGTGGTTTTTGCCATAAAGCCTGCAAAGTGGCATGACATGGGTGATGTGCCTCCAAAAATGAAAATGAGAGTCTTGGTGCCAATGATTATCGGGCAACTTCAAAAGGACATTTGCTGTCATAGTAGGGAATAGCTGGGGCTCCTAGGTGGCCCTCAGTGACCTAGTGCCCTCCAAGTCACAGCTAGAGGATCCAGATGAGTGTCCTGGCTTGTTGTGGATAGATAGGGTGTTGAATGTTAGTCCCATTAATGCTGGCCTGGTGATTTCTATGTGTTTAGGTACCAAGTCAGGACTTGGAACAGCCTGCTTGGCTGGGAACCCATCAAAGCCATGGCTGGGTTTGGTGCACACCAAGATAGGGCTGCCGCTGCCGCTGCCTCTGAGAAGTAGTAACAAAGGCTTGGGCAGGGGACAGGGCTGGCAGGAGCAGAGGGAGCCAGCTGTCATCCTCCACTCTTTCAATGGGAGAGGGATGCACACAGCTCTCCTCCCAGTCAGGCTGTGTTTATGTTTAGAGACCCTCATGACTCTAAGGGGACAGAGAGCAGCTTCTGAAAATACACAGCACAGGATGGAAAAAGAAAAAGAGAAGCCATCTGGATTAGGACAGTACACATGAGAGTAGGTCAAAGGGGACTCCTTCCATGAGGACCAAAGCTGAGCTGTGCTGAGACCCCCTGTTGGCCAAAGCAAAAAGGGAAATGTGTCAAGCTTTTGGGTGTCTAAGGACTGGCAGCAAGCGCCAGCTGCTTCACTCAGCTGGTCAGTGGGCTCACAGATAACGTCTGAGTGTCGGGACCTGGGTACCTCAATCACGGGGCCTCATGCACTTCTCTCCACAAGGCAGGCAGACTATCCCACACATGGGGCAACTGGAGCTGAAGACCTAATTCTTCAAGGACTGCTACTGCTGAGATTTGGACCTTGGGTCCTTTTGCCCAGTCTGGGCTCCTGCTGGAACTGCATCTCTCCCTTAGGAGGCCCCAATGGTTGAGAGTTCTATGAGCATGCTCACAAAAATGAAGTAAAAATCACCCACTCTTCCTGATCTCACATGTCTAATAAGAGTATCTGGGAGTTCCTGAACAGCTGTCCCCTCATCCCAGCACCTGACATGGCTAAGTCATGCTCTTTAACGGGAGTCTCAACCCAGTACCTGACAAGTTGCCAGGCAGACACAGAGAAGGAAGATGAGAATGCCAAACTGAGAAAAGGTACCAAGCCACATGGCTAAACACAGATGAGAATTATGGGCTAATTTAAGCTGTAAAGAGTTTGTTAGTAATAAGCCTGAACAATAGGCCAAACAGTTTATAATTAATATAAGCCTCTGTGTGTTTATTTGGGACTGAACAGCTGCAGGACCTGGCGGAAGAGAAACTTCCGTCAACATAAGAGTCTCACCTCAGCATTTGAAATGTCTGGGTCATGTTCTCTCACAGGGGTCTCTGAATCCCCTCTTTGGCCCCAGGCCTTAGTCAGGTACTCATTAGGTCTATTCCTGAAACTGATGCCTCAGAGTCTTGAAAAGACTTGGCTTTCTCCACTGTTGACTGTCCTGGGCTGAATTGCCCACAGGCCTTCCTGATGACACTGGGCTACCCAGCCCTAGGAGATAACCCACACAACCAATCCACAGGGGCATCTTTTCTAGCCAAGCATTTAAAATCCATCACCTGCTGGGATGCAGGCTCAGTAGCAGTATTTCCATCTCCCACCCCTCCCTGCCTTAACACATCTCAAGCACCTGGCTCAAAAAGAAAGACATGGAATTCTATACCTTTTAAAGAGATTAGAATTTTGACCCTGGACAGGAGGCTGCAATCTCATTGCCAAAGGGCCCCATATGAATCAGTGGTGGGGCAGTGTGAGCTGCAGCTTACACAGCAGAGTCATGAGGCAGTCCCCAGAAGCCAAGGAATTAATTTCTTTTGGTGTAGCCTGGGGCACTTTCATGAGTGTTACTGCTGCAGTCAGTCCTCAGCAATCAGTTTAATAATGGGGTTCATTAGGTTGATCAGTTCAAGCCAGACTCACAACCCCACCCAAGTTCCAGGCTAGCAAAACACAGACAAGGTTTCAGTCCCAATCCCATAGTTCTCACCTGTCTATAACCTTTATATATTAGGGCTCCAGTCAGGCAGCCAGGGCTCAGTGGAGATTCTTGGGAGCCCAGGAATGGGTCCCAGCAGGCTGGTGGGAGGTGCAACTACTGACATAGAGACATCAGATGGCCCAAGCTTCACCTCTCTTGGCGACCTGTGCTCCTCACTGACCCAGGACCCCACATGCGGCTGTCTTAGGTGAGTGAGGCTTATGCTTGTTCTGTTGCCTCATTCAGAGCATACCAAGACTCAGCAGCCCTGTCTGTGGCTCCAGGCTGGCTACCAGATCTGCAAACAGCCATGGAGGGGAAAGGTATGCAGCAAGACCCACACTGTTGGGCCTGGAGTACTCCTTAGGGTAGTAACACAGGGGTATGGGCCAGGCATGACTCTATACCCATTCCCAGTACCTGCATAGGATCTGTCTACCAACCAATAACACACAAATGTGGTTACCAAAGATACCAGAGAAGAGCAGTGGGGATGTCCCACTGGTCCATCCTCTTCTTGGAGCCCACAGTACAGCTTACTACCAACCACTCTTCCAGCAAGGATGGCTTGACTACATTACTGAGGCCACGTCTGCTGAAGGGTGAAAGACTAGTCTCCAAGGGTCATGGACCTGCAGGTGTGTATGTGCAGCACTGGTACCCCCATAAGTGGATACGGTGAGCCTGTCTTACCTATGCCCCCATGGAAGTCCCCACAGGCCACCAATCTGCACATGAGAAACTCACCTCATACAGCAGACAGCCTAGAGACCAGATGTCTGACTTGAAGTTGTAGCCGTTCTCGTGGATCCTCTCTGGTGACATGTAGTATGGTGTTCCCACTGCAACACAACAAGGGGTAGGACTCAAGAGGTGGGCCTCAGTGGGGCAAGAACAGGGGCTCAGGGAGAGGAGATATGGCCTGTCCCCTCCTTGGTCATCTGAGATAGTTGCCCATGTTCACAGAACTTTAAGTGAATCCCCAGGACCCCTCAGATTTAAGAATGTGTTGGGGGCCATATAGCCAATGCAGAAAAGCAAATGACCACCATCTCTTCAGGTAACAGTTTGTATCCAGGACAGTCCAGAACAAGCTCTCAACAGAAAAGAACAACTGTCCATGGTGACTAAGCCACAGGAGGGGAAACTGGGGCTCAGGCAAGTCAAGAGGTGTACAAAAAGGGGACGATTCATTAGATGACAGAATCCTTTGGTTCACCAATGGCAAGCTAGGGTGTGACGGTTTCAATGAGCAGTGTCTCCTGTAGGTTCAGGCACTGAACTTTTGATCCCGAATGATGGTGCTGTTTGGGGAAGTAAGGAAACCTCTAAGAGGCAGCCTTGCTGAAGGAAGTCTGTCAGTGGGGGGTGTCTTACCCCAGTTTTAGGCTTTTATGACCTTTTAGCTCCCCACTCTGGCTGTCTGCTGCTGTCTCAGTCACTGTTCTATTGCTGTGAAGAGACACCATGACCAAAACAAACTGGAGAGGAAAGGGTTTATTTGGCTTATGCTCTATATCCATAGTCCATTGTAGGAAGTCAGGGCAGGAACTCAAACAGGGCAGGCACCTGGAGGCAGGAGCTGATGTGGAGGCCATGGAGGGGTGCTTACAGGTTTTCTCCCCATGGCTTGCTCAATTTGCTTTCTTTTAGAACCCAGGACCATCAGCCCACGGACGGCTCCACCCACAATAGGTTGGGCCTTCCCACACCAATCACTAATTAAGAAAATTACTCACAGGCTTGCCCACAATACGATTTTATGGAAGCATTTTCTCAATTGATGTTCCCTCCTCTGATGACTCTAGCTTGTGTCAAGTTTACATAAAACTAGCCAGGACAGCTTCTGTGCCTCCCCCATTATGGACTCCCTCTCTGAAACTGTGAGCTATTTACTTCTGGTCATAGGATTTTATCACAGCAACAAGAAGGTAACTAATACACAGGGACAGAGAAAATCACCCAAAGATCTCTCTGACATGAACCAACATCTAACCAAGATGGTTTGAGTCTGAAACATGCTCCCAAAAACTACGTGCCATCAGTCCCTAACTGATGGTGTAACTGGGAACATGGTGGGATCTTCAAGGAGTGGGGTAAAAACCTCTGTTTTGCTCCAGACAGTAGGATATAAATTTCTCTGGGCTGTGGCTCCTGAACATCCTGGGCAGGACAGCTCTAGTCCATGGCAGGAGTCATGGGGACCCAGGTATGTTATATAACAGGTGTGCATATCTTTTCACTCTTTTTTTTTTTTTTTTGCAGCCTAATGCTCCACTTACTCAACAGACAATGGTCTGAGGCATGGTCCCCATGAACTCACATGTCTAACCATCACTGTTGCTTCATAAAAGACATGGTTGAGAACTGGACATCCTGTCATACACTCATACTCTATGGTGGTAATCAGGGGCTGGTGGTTCCTCAGTAAAAGAACTGCCAGCTAATATGTACAGCTGTGACCTCTTTTATTTATTTATTTATTTTGGTTTTTAGAGACAGGGTTTCTCTGGGTAGCTTTGGAGGCTGGCCTGGAACTAGCTCTTGTAGCCCAGGCTGGGCTCGACCTCACAGAGAGCCCCCTGCCTCTGCCTCCAGAGTGCTGGGATTAAAGGCGTGCCCCTCCCCCGCCCGGCTTTTTTTTTTTAAGATTTTATTTATTAATAATGAATATAACATTCTGCTTCCATGTATATCTGCACATCAGAAGAGGGCACCAGATCTCATAATGGATGGTTGTGAGCCACCCTGTGGTTGCTGGGAATTGAACTCAGGCCCTCTGGAAGAGCAGTCAGTCCTCTTAACCTCTGAGCCATCTCTCCAGCCCCACAGCTTGACCTCTTAAGGGCAAGTGGGATATCAGGAATAAACACCTGTGCACTCCAGTCATAAGAACACAAAAAAACCAAACCAATAGTCAGGTGTGAAGTGAAGAGGTGTCACAGCCAAATCACAGGACAGAATCCACAGGTCTTGGTAAGCAGTGGGAACCTAGGGACAAGTGGCACTGGGTTCCAGACCCAGAATACAAGGATGATGGAACAGGACTGGCCAGGAGACGGGTCAGAGCTGTGTCCCAGCAATGCTTGACCCTGCGGCTCTTCCCACGTGTCCTAGGCACCTTTTATAGCTGCCAGGCCCAGGCAAGAGGCACTCTCAGGTGCGGTAATCTGCAGGAAGCCTGGGCCAGACCTATCCGGAGGTGAGGGGTTCTAGGGCCTTGTGCCAGTCTTAGTTCTCCTCCCCAAACCAATTCTAGTTGCTGTCTGTTCACCTCTGAGCTCTGCTCCACTGTGCTTGTGCATTGGGGAGCTCCAGCAAGGCCAGCCACCACTTTCTCCCTCTGACTCTAAAGCAGGTTCTGGTCACAGCCTGCATGAGAGCCAGAGTTGCTGAGGAGAGGCAAGAGAGCTGCTTTCCCCTCCTTTCCATTGCTCCTCCACCTCACTGATGTATTTTTGTATTTTAATTTTTTTCTTTTTTGGAGATGGCCTAACACCTCTACATAAAACAGGTGGTCCCTGAACTCACTTGCCTTCAGGCTTCACTTCCTTTTTCTATTGCAGTGTGGGTTGGAATCTGGACTTTGCACATGCTAATGTTCTACCCTTGAACCACACTTCCAGCCCTTGGTTTTGTGAAACAGTATCTCACTAGGCAATCCAAGCTGTCCCTGAACTTACGATCCCCCTGCCTCTGCCTCCTGTGCTGGAATTACAGATGTGTACCACCATGCCCAGGGAGGAACTTTCTTCCAAGATGCCTCCTACAGCTCACCCATTCATCTGTCTGTCCTCATCTATCCATTCATCTGTTACCTGCTCATCAGAGCCCATTCACACGTCTGTCTGTCCTTACACCTGCCCGTGGTGGTTGGTGGAGCTGTGGCTCTATGCTGGGTGCCCCCTCAGGTGAGAGCTGCCTGTCCCAGGATGTGTCCAGCAGGGGACAGCTTATCATGAGTCAGGACAGGCCTGCACTGAGCAGAAGAACTGGGTTCTAGTAAACATCTAGCTAAACAGCACTGTTCAGGCCTAGAGTTTGGACACTTGTACCTCTCCCGAGCTTCTGGGAGTACATGGCCAGTGCTGGAGTTTGAGAGAGACCCCCGAGCCTTACTCACCGCCTGCTTCCTCTGGGAATGAATAATTTGTAGCTGAGAGCAGTTTGGCCCTCCCTGGAGGGCACTGGACCCTCTAGACCCCTGCCTCAGGCTTCCTTATAGGCTGTGGGGTTCTATACTTTGGAGGTGGGGGGTGTGCAACTTTTGCCAGGGGGGTATGAAGCTGAGGAGCCCAGTACTCCCCCAGCTGTGCACTTCACCTGAAACATGATGGAGCATAATGCAGCACTTACGGGCACAGATGGGACAACAGACTGCAAAGAAACCTACACTTGCAGCAGGCCACTGGAGGATGATTCTGGGAAACCTGAAGAGAAACTAGCAGGAGAGGGTATTTCCCTGGGCAGTGTCCTGTCCCAGAGGACACAGGCCACCTTGCACCAACTAGTTTCACATGTGCTGCAGGGTGAGCCCTGCCTAGTCACAGTCCTTCCTCATACCAGGTCTGGACTGCACAGAAGAAAGGGGAGCCTACCCAAGCCTGACCTTCCTGAGTCTTTACCCTAGAACTGGGGATTTCAAACCTGGCAGAAACCAGAGAACACGGAACTCAAAGTGGAAGGCTGACTAAAGAGTCCTCCCCCAAGATGCGTGCGCCCCCTGTCAAAACACACTACCAGGGTTAGAAATGCTCACTTGTTTGAGAAACACTAGGCATGAAAAAGGACAATGTCTGCAAGTTGCCCTTCCCCAGATGGCATCATCTACCAGGTGGGGCCGAAGCTTGGACTTCATGAAGGATGGAAGGCAGAGCTATGCAAACTGCCCCCTGGTGTGACCTGCTCTGGCCACTCTCTGGTCAAAGAGCAAGATGCCTCTGCCTTGGTTCCTCATCATGGATACCCTCATGCTTAGCAGTGGGTTTTCCTGACAGGAAAGTGGGGATTACAACAGTGTTTGGTCCTTGGTGAATCTCACTAATGAGCGAGCATCCCTGGGGATGTCTGTCTGTGTGGACCACAAATCCTCCTCACAGCTCATTGTGGTCGCACACAGCAGGGTCCTGTGCGTGGCAGCACTGGCATATGACAAAGAGAGCCCTGCTTCTTCCCACCAGGTGTCCCTGCCCAGGAAGCTTGGTGGGACCTCTCTCTCTACCTGTCTCCACACAGTGGGCTGGTGACCCTTTGAAGACCATCTGGGCAAGGGATGTTTCCTTGCCCATGTCCAGTGACCACTGGTGTGTCTTCACTTCTCTCAGCCCCTAGCTTCCTCAGATAAATGAGGATGAAGGACCTTATAAAAGCAAAATGTTTCTTAAATATTTCTAAAGCCCACTTTCTTATGACCTGCCCCTTCAGTAAGCTGAGTGACACTGAAGTGCAGGGTGGCTAGGGGCTTAGGTAGCTGCCAATCCTGGGTGACACTGGGTTCCTCCAGGCAGAGTTTAGACTCTCACAGCCCAACACCTGCACACACACTTCTGGCCTTCGGGAAAGCATTCCACCCATCTTTTCACCAGCTCTCTCTGCCAATCTGTGGCCCTTGAAGGCAGTAAAGCCTGCTGAGTCACACATCCCAGCATGGTGCAGGAACAGAATGGTGTGCAAGCCCATGACTAAGCCAGGCCTGGGGAGCAGCCATGTCCCTTGACTTCTTGTCTCTGATGGGGTTGTCCCTGATGGGCTCTGCTTCCCCAGTCTCAGAGAGACCAGGCAGACCCACAAGGCCTGGCTCTGAGCAACCTCCCTTCCTACCCTGTCCGGTCTCAGCCGGAGGCACCCTGTCACCACTGTCACGGCTGCCAAACACGAGGCCTGCATTTCTGCTCTTCAGACCCACCATTTGTCTCGAAGCTGCTGCCGTTGCTTGGAGCGAGACACTTGTTTGTAGCTTGTGAGCTGTGTATAGGCAAATCTTTCATTTTTCTTTCATTATACCGGCGTGTACTGTCACTTAATTTTTATGTATGCAATCCTTCCTGACAAATATGATCTGCTGCCTGGTAATTCGTCTGACGCTCATTCTGTTCCGAGCTCTAATTATGGCTCCTATTCCTGACACCGAGGCAGCCGTTCTGCCACCGCTGGGTACCGCACCTGTCAGCCCGACCATGGCACTGACTAATGCCCTTTCATGCCAGCCTCCCGTTAGCAAATACAAGTATAAGGAGGGGCCAGGGAGGGAAGGCAGAGAATGGATTTGCATAAACGTGGCTCGGGGTCAGCAGCTTTAGGAGATGAGGCTGCTAGGACGATATAGCTACTGTCCCAGCATCCCCACATAGTAGGTGCACATTAGATGCAGAGGGTGAATAATTCATAGCCATATACAGGGTGAGAAGGCCCCCACATCTTTCCTGTGTCATGGTGTGATAACAATTAGTTCTATTTCTTGCCCAACAAGGCTTGTGTGCATTTAGCCTTGTATAGAACTGGTAGTAGAAAGGTGCTTTCCTCTGGAACTTGGAGACTTTGGGTCCTGGGTTATGGGTCTGCACTGCCAACCTCCAGGTCATATTAGGTACAGAGGAAGGGCCTTGGCTCCCTGAGCTGGTCCAGCAAGCTCAGACTGGTGGCGCATCCTCAGCTCCATGGTGTCTCCTGGACTGTGGTGCACTTGGCCTGGAACAGGGATGGGTATGGGAGGGCACCTTGCACCCATTTTGCAGGGCCTGCTCAGGAGCCTCAGGAGGTACCCAGCTTGTGGGGGCAGCCTCTTCCAAGTCCCAGTTGCTTCTCATTAATATAATAAGTGCAGCAGTCCAAGCGGATAAAATCACACTGTCGGATGAGCCAGGGCTCTGCCATCTCCAACAAGGCGATCTTAACCAGCTCTGACTAGCCACTGCAGCCATCTTCTCCAAGACAGAACAGAGTATGGCTTGAGCCTGACTGACAGACATAGGATGCACTGCTTGTGCTCTTTGCTGACAGTTTCCCTCTGAGTCATGATGTTTTCCAAACTCTTAAGCCAAATGGCCGTGGTGTGTTATCAGGGGTCAAACACTTACTTGTCTAGCATGGGGGAGGCACAAAGAAAAGGTACCACCCTAACTCAGGTCAGAGTGGACTGAAGCCTTCAGAAGTGAGGCTTCCTTCCAGTCACAGAGTCAGTAGCCAGGGATCCCTGATGGACACCTCTGGCCCAGATCTTGTAGAAGAACTAGGAACTGAGCAGGATAGGCCAGCATTGTAGTAGCCAGGGATCCCTGATGGACACCTCTGGCCCAGATCTTGTAGAAGAAGTAGGAACTGAGCAGGACAGGCCAGCATGGCCGACTTGGTTTTGAGGGATACCATGTAACCTTGAAATCACCCCAACTCCCTGAATTCCAGTTTCTAGGTCCTGTGGCCCCTGAAGGCCAGAATCCTTAGGTCTCTGGAGATGGCCCCTACATAGCATTTCCTTGGGGTCAGGGAGTCAAGGGAGTCAAGGGAGAGGCCAGGTCAGGTGGAGGCCCATCCCTCATCCCACTCTGCAAGTCGCTGGCTCATTTCTTCTAAGTGCATGCCTTGAGTCTGAGCCATCATGAGCTGCTGAATGAACAGCGACAGTTTCCAGAGGGAAGTTTGCCACAGAGCACCCATGCTGCCACCAGAAGCTGCTGTTGGCACATGGCTGGCTGCAGGCACCCAGGTGTGGGGGATGGGAGACACACAGATTGGAGCTGCATAGTGGAATGGAAATAAGTAGAACTACAGACCAGACATGCTGGCCCCTGTCCCTTCTGTCTCCCCTAGTGATGTCCAAGAGATGCTAGGAACTGACTAGGGGAGAATCAGGGAGATGCCTGCCTCTCATGGATTCCTGGTGAAGCCTTCCTACACCTGGGGTATGCACAGGACACCTGTCTCTGTGCCTGCTGGCTATGCCAGCTCCTATAAGCTAATTGCAGGGAAGAGGCTCCGCTTTCGTCACTCACGTTTCTTTCTCTTACATACCAGGCACATAGATCTGGAAGCTGACACAGTCCCCTCCCCCAACCTGAAGCTCATCATATTGAGTCTTTTCCTGTTCCTCTTCCTGTCTCTCAGCAGCCACCCTCTCTACACCCCCAGTAGGGACATCAAGGCCTGTGTTCGTACCCAGCCACCCAAGTTCATGCAGGGTTCCCCCAAATGGATATAGGTCCTTCCTGGCCTTCCTTGTTGCTCTTTCTCAGGAGTCCAGCCACCCAGCCCCAGACTCCAAGGCTGACTTCAGTCTTACAAGCAGGTCCATCTGATAGGGCACAGCAAGAGGACCCACAAAGCAGGCAGATCCAGCCCACTGTGTATGGCAGGGTATGCTGGCCTTCCAGGAAGTACTCAAGACATGACCTGGGGTACAGGTACAGGGAGATCCCCAGTGGCCCACCTGGGCCTCAATTTCCTCTATTCTAGATCTATACCAAAGCAAGAGTGAACTTTAGGGACTCAAAAAACATCTTCCCCACACTATGCAATACTACCAGGAGAATGTCTGCCCTTCCAGCCAGGTCACCCAAGCCTACAGGGGCTCCAGGGGACACAGGCTCCTTACCTAGTGAGTGGGCTGCAGTGGTCTCTGAGCTGAAGAAGCGGCCCAGGCCGAGGTCACCAAGCTTCACAATGCCTGTAGCTGTGATGAACACGTTGGCGGGCTTGATGTCTGCAGGTGAGGACATGGGGTTGGTGTGGGAGGGTAGGCATAGAAGGGATAGGAGGCCTCAGGCCTGGAAGTGTCCACAAAGCTTTTCAGTGATGGGTAAGCCATCACTCAGGGCAAAGCCAACCCCCACTAAAACATCAAAGCCCATAGGCAGGTCCTGTTGTCTGAGGCTTCCCTGCTTGCCACCCAGAGGGATCTTGGGACAGTTGGGCCCCCAAGCCTCATTTTATCACCTATAACAAGTCTATCTCCCCCTCCTTCATAGGCTGGCTGTGAGTAGGGAGCAGAGACCTCTATAATACTGTTTCCCCATGCCAGCAGACTGTCAACTGCACAGTAGACACTCCCTGACGATCACCAAGCTTTGTACCCCAGTGACTAGGCAGCACCTACACACAGGGGCTAAACAGGAGGAGGGAGAAATGGAGACATCAGTTTCAACATGTTCCCAGCAGGCTTCACACCTTCGTGAACCTCTCAGAAGCACTCACTGGTGCTCACTTCCTGGTGTGGGATGGGTGTGAAGTTTGCTTAGCCAACTCCTACCAAGGTGTCAAAGCCCACAGGAAACTTCCTTTCTCTGGGCAAAACTGGCCTCAGTACTAGAATTGGTCACATCTGGGATGAGTGCAGACAAGTGCTGAGGTGGCCCTTGTTCCCTGAAGCTTATGTGACAACTACTGGCATCAGCTGAGTCCCTTGCCCTCACAGGTGCTTCCTGACATGGAGCAGATGCGAGCGTAGCTGTTGGATATCTGCATGGGGAACACTAACCAGCCTAAGCTATTCTCAGGGCAGCTCCTGGGGCACTTGGAGATCTCAGGGCTGGGGTCCCCTGGGGCACACACCTCGGTGCATCACACGCCGGGAGTGCATGTGCTCCACAGCACTGCACAGCTGCACAAAGTACTTCCACACAGTCCTCTCAGGAATAAGCCGCTTCTGCTTCTTGAAGTACTGTGGGGGACAGACAGACAGGTCTGGGTGAGCATGATGCTTCCAGGAAGGGTGACACAGTGGTGGGGGCTGAGCAAACATGGCAGGGCCAGAATGCTGTGCCCACACCTCTCTTCAGCCCTGATGAACTAACTGTGAGGTTGGAGCCTGGCCCAGAGCAATCCCGGGAAAGGAACACTCACCCTCAGCCTTGGCCTGGTGTGGGAGGAAGGCAGCCAAGCCATGCCTGAGAGGTAGCCATTGTTGCCCCCACGTCCTCAGAGCCAGTAAGTCCCAGTGCCATGTGACTGTTAAAGGCATAGAGACCCTGAGGAGACTGTCTTATCTTTCTCAAGCAGCCCCTTTGGTTTCAGTGGATATTAATCTGCCTCCTTGCCTAGTGTCCTAGTTAGGGTGTCTATCGATGGGATGAGACACTATGACCCAAGCAACTTCGGGAGGAAAGTGTTTATTTTATCTACTACTACCATACCACAGTCAAAACAGGGCAGGAACGGGGGGGCGGGAGCCGATACAGAGGCCATAGAGGGACGCTGCTTACTGGCTTGTTCCTCACGGCTTGCTCAGCCTGCTTGCTTGCTTAGAGAACCCAGGACCCACCCATAATGGGCTGGGCCCTCCTTCATCAGTCACTAACTAAGAAAATGCCCGTAGGACTGCCTGCCCACAGCCAGATCTTATGGAGGCATTTTCTCAATTGAGGTTCACTTCTCTCAGATTACTTTAGCCTATGTCAAGTTGACATAAAATTAGTCAGGATGTAGTAAACCACATTCAACCCCCCCAGGAAAAAAGAAAGAAAAAAGATAAAAATAACTCCCCCAGGCAGCACTGAAAGAGAGAACTGAAACAGAAGGTTCTGGAAGGACAATGCAGGTAACAGCTGTGTGTGTTGGGGTACATAAGCTCCTAGGCACCAGGCCTGTGGAGAGCAATGACTGGCACCCCAGCTACCTGGTCACCAAACTGTGGTTCTAATGGCAAGTGGCAGCACTGTGGCCTGCTGCCAAGCAAATACTCTGGTGTAGGAAGCCAGGAACTACTAGAGTGCCTGCCCCACCTGTAGAGGGAACAGGAGTGGAGAAAAGGCCCTGCCGGGCACAGATCACTCTGAGCCATGCTGCTGGGCCCTCAGCAAGAATCGTGAAGGCACTGAGGGCTACAAAGTGGAGGTCAGCTAGGCCTTCTGAGTTCCTCACCACATCTAATGATGCTGGGAACCTGTGAGAGGGACCATGCCCAGAGAGACTAAGCAGCAGGTGCAGTGAGCTGGGATCCAGAGCTGGACATCTCCAGATGCAAGGCTGTGAGGCTCTCCAGAGGCCCTTCTAGGAGGAACTGGAGGGCTAGCTGTCCTGGTCTCCCAGAAGACCTCTGCTTTGGGCACCCCTAGGCCTCTGTGGCGGCTGGGTGGGCTGTTATTTACACCATAATGTTATTTGGTCCTCATTATAGTGTTTATGTGGGGATGTGTGCAGTCGAGAGTGGTGATTTTCTAAATGTCACATTCTATAAGTGCCAGCTGACATTTAGTAGGAAGGCACAGAGTCTCTGGTGGGTTTCAGACAGTGGCAGCTCTGGGCTTCATCAGCCCTGTAAATAATACCAGCACCGTGGTTGACTGGCCCCTGAGGTTGCAAGCCCTCAGGACACAGCCCCCCTCCCCAATCCCCACCCAACCAGTGACCTCTAACTAAGGCCAGTGGGAACACTGTGGTGTGACCCAAGCTTGGGGTTGGATGCAAAGGCTGTGTTCCCCTGGAAGGGGTGTGGCACCTCACAGTGTGTTGGGTACCAGGAAACTTGGGCATGGGTCTGCTAAGCCACCCCAGGTGTGTCTAGCTAGGGCAGTGCCCCAATTCCCCTGCTGGCTGGAGCTGCCACAGTCCTAGACCTGTCTATAAGGAAGCTTGTGTAGTCAGCTGTTGCAGACAGGAAGGAGAGACCTGCTCTGCTTCTTCCACTAGGGAGGAAGGCCAGGCAGGAACAGCCTCCACATCAGTTCTTTGTGGAGCCCAGGACACATAGAGGCAGGCCAGTAGGCTGGCTACCCAGTTCAACTCCTTTAGAACCTATATTCGTTTCTCAGAATCCTCTTCCAAAGGGTCACTGGGAAAGGGTAGACACTGGAGCTTAGCCCCCAACAAAATGTTGTCTGCCTTTGTTCCAGATTGAGAGGTCACAGGGGAATCTCGGGTCCATGGGCTACAGCATATATGGAGAGCAAGGAGGGACTCTGGCTCTCTGCTCCTGCTCCATCCCCACCCAACCCTTTGCTTGCCACCCAGTCTCCTAAACACAAGGCTCATTGTATCTGCTCCCTAGGAAGCTCCTGTGAACTTGGACAGCAGTCCCCAATCCTGAGCTGAATTGAGAAACTCACCACAACTTGACCCCACCATCACCTCCTCACCTGGAGTTCCTTATGGCTCACAGTGCATCTCACCATCTCACTGTCTGGAGTGCTTATCCAGCTCTTCCCACTTCTATACTCCCCATCTGCTCTGGGGCCAACTCAGCTCAGGGATCACCTTCTCCAGGAAGCCCCCACCCAATTCCACAGACCCTACCCGGGCTTACTCTAGAGCCTGCCTTCCTGGTAGAACTCAAACTCCTGGGGGCACCACCAGTAATGGTGGAACCCTGAGGTCTTGGTGGGGGCTGGCACATGACAATATGATGGAGAGCTGCATGTGTACTTGGGGTATGTTTAGGGGAGATGCCAAACGAATGAGAAATGAGTGAAGGGACCCAAGACATGATGTATCATGTCTGTTCCCACCAGGGATCTGCCTGTAGATTAATGCCCTGCAAATGCATTAATATGTCAACGGAAACATAAAAGCAGGTGATAACAGCTCAGTAATGCCGTTTCCCAATGACACCATATTCCTAGGGGCCAAATTTCTGAAGAGCAACTGACAAACAATTGCTCAGTCCCCAGTGCCTGCTGGGAAGATAGAATCCATGTTGGTTCATATCCACACACAGTGGGAGCCCAGTATGGGGCTTGAGGATGGCCTGGCTTCACTCAGGACAGACTAGGTTCAGAGAAGGTAGGTGATGGGGGTCCACTATAGGGGCTGGAGATGGGGACCCATGCCAGCAGGGACATGAGGGCCTCAAGAAAGAAGCAAGGATCAGAGGTCATGAGTTAGGGCTGTGTTGCCTTTGGCTGGAGACTAAACTTCTCTGAGCTTTGCTGAGGACGGCATAGGCTCAGTGGCTTAACATTTCTGTGGCTGATGGTGGCACTCTCTCAATGGAGAGTGTCCCTGCCATGTCCCTGAAACCAGACCCACAGTAGTTCCCCTTGTGAGTTCTGAGAGGGGAAGAGACAGTTTATGGAATGTGAAAGAGCACGGCCCTGAGCTTCACAGGCACACAGTTGCTCAGGCTCTCACAGACCTGGCATGAAATCCTCACTATGTGGTAATAAATACACCTGTCCAAAGGCTGGGTTGTGGAGACAATGACCTCTGACCAATTCCAGACCAGGTACACAGTATGAGCTCCCACACAGTATTCTCAGACAAGCCAACCTTTCTGGACCTCAGTTTCCCCTACTATAGAATGTGGTAGCTGGAGCCATAGGACATGTCACTTAAAGACTCTATGGGGCCACTGCACATTTTGAATTAAGAATCTGTGGTTCTGTTCAGCTGGGGCTGAAAAATTGGCTGTGATTAACAAGAGACTGGACCACTAAAGCGAAACCTCTACTTTGCTGGACTAATTGATGCTGGTCAGCTGGAGCTGAGAACTTGGAGATGATAGAGGAGACCAGCATCACTGAGGTGAAATCCCCTGAGACGTTTTTCCTGAGTCAGCACACAGAAGCTGTGTTCAGAGGCGGCCAAAGTTGCACCTTGTGCTGGCAGCTAAACTTGGTAGTGGAAGAATCACTGGGGCAGGCGGGGGGGGGGGGGGGGGGGGGGGGGTGTTGAAGAAATGCTGGGGACATGGAGAGCAGCTGAGACTTGGCACTGTGAGAGCCCAGGAGAGGCTACTGGTGAAAAGTGCCGCCCACCTGCACCAGAAGACTCCACTGTTTGAGATGCCAGTACCATGGGATGACCACCAAGAACAGCAGCAGAGGTGGAGTGGAGCCTCCCTGAACTTGGAAGACAAGCTGTGTGTGCTGCAGAGGACTGAGCTGGACAAGTGACACAAACCCTTTGAAAGAACCCAGAAGAGCGTGAGTGGACACTGCACTATTTACTCAGCTGGAGCTTGGTTTTGCTTTGTTCACATTGTCACTGTGCCCTATTCTTCCCCCCTAAAGTAAGGAAATACTTAACTTATTTTTTATTTTACAGGACCCCACAGCTGAAAGACTTTGAATTTTTAAAACGGACTTGGAATTTTTAAAGAGCCTGAATTTTAATGTTTTTGAATTTGTAGAGGACTGGGGGACTTTTTAAGTTTGTAAAATATTGTGATGTTGATATTAGTGTGTGATCTTGGGGAAAAAACAAGAAAGGGAAGATTGTGGCTCAACAGTGATGTGCTTGTGTGTCAAGCTGATAAGGGGTCGATTGTGCTGAATAGTTTTATGGCAACTTGATACAATCTATAGTCATCTGAGGAGGGAGTCTCATTTAAGAAATGACTCCATAAAATCAGGCTGTAAGCAAGCCTTCAGGGCATTTTCTTAATTAGTGATTGATGGGGGAGGGTCTAGCCATGTGTGGATGGTGCTATCCTCTAGGCAGGTGGTCCTGGGGGCCATAAGGAAGCCAGATGAGTAAGCCAGAGGAACAAGCCAGTAAGCAGCACCCATCCATAGCCTCTGCATCAGCTCCTGCCTCCAGTTCCTGCTCTGAGTTCCTATCCTGGCTTCCTTTGATGGAGAGGTGTAAGCAAAATAAATCCCCTTCCTCTCCAAGTTGCTTTAGTGATGGTGTTTCATCACAGTAATAGTAACTTAAGACAGAAATTGGAGTCTGATCTTTAGAGGTTCCTGTTCCTTCTGAAGAGAAAAGTGTCCTCATGTGCTCTGAGCTAGAGCAGTGTGGTTGGTCCAAAGGGTCCCTTATGTGTACCATAGCCCTTACCCAGTCATCATCCTGTCTAGGCATCAGTCTACCTTGCTTTGTGTGCCCCAAGGAGCCTGACAGCACATAGGAGGTCAGAACCAGGCCAAGGCTGTTGCTGGGACGTGGAGAAGTGCCATTCAGGTTGAGAGAAGGGTGCTCTGACCTTGATCATCTGTGAGAGGTCGCCTGCATCAGCCAACTCCAGAACAATGTTCAGCTCATTGTCTTCAATGAATGAGTCCAGGTACTTGATGATGTTTGGATGGTTCAGTTGCTGTACCAGAAAGGGGGGGGGGGAGTCACATCAGTGATGAGTGGCATGGCTGCAGTGCCTGCCCTGCACACATTCCCCTAAGACACCTCCAGTGCAGCATCAGGCCAGCTTCTGCCCAGGAGTGTTCACAGAAACATTCCTGCTCTTTTGTTCTTTCTCAATGTCTCAGCCATCCCTTAGAAACTAAGAATCCTTTCTACCCTAAGAACCCTTAACTTACACTCCTAGTGTAGGTTCCTGCCTCTGGTCTCCATGGTGAGGAAGTGAGTGGAGGCCAGGCAGGGTGGTAAAAATCAGCTCTACCTCACAGAGAGGACCCTGGTGGTGACACTATACCTACATGGCTACTGGGTCTAGGGAAGCAAAAGAAGACTCCAACACTGCTACAACGTGGTTGATACTGCTCATCTATCAGTGGACAGCCAGGGTCTGACTGACAGCATGTTTACCGAGGCTCCAGCAGCCTTTGAGCTCAGCTGGACTGGGCCAGAAGGAAAGGCTGCCCTCAAGCCTAATGTGAATTCCTGAGGGCAGGGGTCTGAGTGGATATGGCTTGTGCAAAGGCCCTATGGTAGGTACATCCCAGAGGCTGAACAGAGAACAGAGTGACAAAGCAGGTGGCGCTAGGAGCCTAGAGGAGTGGGCATGGGGTAAGGTGGGGTTACGGACCAGATGCCCTGGAGCTCTGAAAACACTGAACCCGATTAGGCCCTGGGTTATTTACTTATCACTACTGATCTGTCAGCTCATATATGCATAAGACCTTTGTCAATGAAGTGATGAGGTTGCTGATGCTGTCTCCTGGCTGTGACTTGCATTTTCATCTCTGTATGGTAGCCACAGACATAGATGATTCTGGCCTTTTGTGGCTAATGCCCTTGATATTTGGGGACAACTCTGTGTGCTCCAGCTATGATAAGTCGCTGTAGTTTTCTCCTACAAACTTTTGATTATAGCCTTAGCTTGTGTTTTGCTCAGTCCTTGGGGATCTCATTCTGTACATCAGCCCAGAATGGCTTGGTATTCACTATGTAACCCAGGCTGGCCTTTAACTCCAGGTGATTCTTCTGCCTTAGCCTCCTCTGTGTTGCAGGCTATATAATTACAGGTGGATGATACCATACCTGGCTTAGCTTTAACTTTCAAATCTTCTCACAGACTACAGAAATGTTCCTCAATTTAGTTTTTCATTTTATTTTTGACTAATCCATTTCACAAGCATGTATGTGGTGTGACGCAGGGTTTACAGCTTCTTCTTTCTCATCGGCAAGTCCGCTTTCCCAGCACCCTGTTCCAACTCTCCTCTGTCCTACTGAATTGTTTTGAGAATGTTGGGAACTAACACCAGCTTTGGTTGCCATCAGAGAACATTACAATTTCTGTTCATTATTAGTGTGTGTGTGTGTGTGTGTGTGTGTGAGTGATGTGCATGCCATGCACCTGTGTAGCAATCACAGGATGATGTCAAGTCAGTTCTCCCATCTTTACATGGGCTCTGGGGACTTGCTCAGGTGGCTTGCATGCCAAGTGCTTTACTCACTGAGCTGTCTTTGCTGGCCTCTCCTTATTTTTTGAGACAGGATGTCTTACTGATTACTAGCTTGCTTAATTGGACTGGATTATCTGGCCAGTGAGCCTCAGAAGCCCTAGGGTCTACACCTCAGCACTAGGCTAGAGTGTGCAATACCTACCTTGCTTGGCTTTTTAAAGAAACCAAACAAACAAATGTGGAGGCTGGGGGAGGGGGCTCACACCTTTGATTGCATCACTCCTGACGCAGAGGCAGATGGATTTCTGTGAGTTCAAGGCCGGCCTGGTCTACAGAGTGAGTTCTAGGACAGCCAGGGCTATGTAGAGAAACTCTGTCTTAACAAAAAGCAACAACAAAAAATTGGTTCTAGGGATTGAATTCCTATACTCATGCTTCTGAGGCAATCACTCTACCAACAGAGCTGGGTCCCCAGGCCTGTGTTGTTTTGTTTCCATAGTCCTCTCAAACCTGTCAGGGAGGTCTTCCTGCTATTTACAAGATGGCTAAACAGAGGCTGGTGGAGGTTAAGTCACTTGTGAAAGTTAAGTCACACAGCTTGAAAAGGAAGACAATAGTACTGTAACCCAACACTTTCTTCTTCTTCTAGCCTCCAGCCTGGGGTCCAAGTCCAGTCTGGAAGTTCTATCTGTGGCTCTGGGGAAATCAATATGGGATCACTGGGAAGAAGACAGGGACAACTGCAAACAAACCCGATGCTCCATGTGTGCTGTCCGGATACGCCCAGGTTGTCTGACCCGTAGAAACCTAGAGAGCTGGCCCAATCAAGACTGGCCTGATCCAGGCCACTCACCTTTAGAAGACCAATTTCCTTGACACAGTCCTGCCTTGCTTTGGCATCCATCATCTCAAAGATCTAGGGCAAGAGGAAGCCAGAAATGGAAGTTAAAACCAGTGCCTGTAGACTGGATTCGACCCTCTGCTCAGCCTGCTCATTGTTAAGACCTCAGAAGAAGCACAGTCCCAACTCTCAGCAACAGCCAAGTCAGCCAAGTCAGAGACCATGCTGTCAAGTTCACTTGTGTCCCATAATGCCTACCACACAGAGCAGGGACTGAGGACCACTGAGCCTTGCTGAGGTCACACCCTGACTAGTGGTATGTCACTCCTTCAACAGGGACCCAAAGCCTAAGACTTGTAGGGGCGGACCAAAGGCAGCCATTGGCAGTATGCCAGCACAGTAGCCATTATTCAAAAAGAAGTCAGATGGCCCAGAATAACCTCTGCAAAGAAAAGAGCAGCCGTTTCCCAACTACAGGAGCCAGATGCCCTAGAGGCCTGGAGAGAATGTGAGCATCACAGGTGAATGCTGCTACCAAGAAGCTAGCTAGTGTCTTCCCATTCTCTCCCATGGATGCCTGGCTGAGCAGTTCTCTCTATTCAGGGACTCAGCCTCAAGGCCTTACTCTGCAGGAGAATCAGCAGAATAAAGCAGCCTGTGCATAGGATTCCAGGCACATGCTGTGTGCTTCCCAGCCCGACCTTGCGGCTATAACACTCCCCTCCATTTAGAAGGGTCATAGAGGGTAGGCTAGACTCTTAGAGCCAAAGCCCAAAGGGGCAGAGAGTATCTTGCTTTCCCCTAAACTCCCTCTGGTCTAGAGAGTTAGTGGGTTTCTGTTTTCCTCATCTAAAAAAATGGTACAATAATCTCAGTCCACAGGGCTATTGTCAGGATCCCATGTCTGGGCACATCCCTGTATACAGTAGGTACCTAATGTGTGCATACTTTTATTTTCCTTTTTGTTTTACAGAGGGTTAAACTTGAGTCCCCTTGGAGGTAAGGTCACAGTGAATGTAAGGATTCAGGCATTATGCTGGCCTGCCCCTGTCACCTGGCAGAATGCACTCAGGCAGTACCCTGGTCAGCCTAGGGTTCCATGGTTTCGTAGTCTGCATGCTACAAAATGCTGTAGCTCCCACTTATTCTCTCTTCTCGTTCCCGCTCTCTTTCCTTCTCTATTTCCTGCTGTTCCCTGGGGAAGACAGAACTTTTCCTGTCTCCCTCTTCTCTTCTGTCTCTGAATCTCTTTACCTCTTTTCTCTTTCCTTCTTCCTCCCATTTCCCTTTCTAATAAAACTTCTCACTAAGCTCTGTCTGCCTGGTATGTTTGTCCCTCTGCTTCAGTCACCCTCGCCTGCATGGAATCCGCCAAGGTTCACCACAAGCTTTATCCTAACAGTGAGGCCACTTGGACTTGTGGCCCTAAACTCACCTGTACCTTCTTCAGAGCCACTGTCTTCCTGTCTAGCAGGCAGGTAGCCTTGTAAACCTCACTGAACTGTCCTCGGCCAATCTTCTTCTCAATCTGGAAGTCCGCCAGTGAGCATCGAAAAGATAGGGTGTTGGGGTGCCTCTGTAGGAGACAGAGGCATGGGTGATCAGCTAGGCTGAAGCAGAAAGCCTGGGACTAGATGGCTGGGGCCCCAGCATCCCAATAGTACCTTCTAAGCAAAGAAGGAATTTTACTCGCCACCCCCAATAATGGACCTGGAAAGTAGTGTGTGTGACAAATGTCAGAGCAAGAGGGGCAGAATGCACTTCTAGTCTCACTCCAGGTTCACCAGAGCCTCCCACCATAGGTCAGCCACCATCAGCTGGGACAGCCAGCCATTCCTCACCAGGAAGGGGAAGCAAGCTCAGATATGTGGCTTACCACTGAGCTTCTTTGGACAACCTGCACCCATCACAGTGACACAAAGAAACCAGACTCCATGGAGACTGCCAAGCTAACACTGAAAGCCATGATGGAACAGAGGGACCTGGCCAAGAAGACTATGGATGGCCTCCTGCCAGCCCTCTCTCATGCTGCCCTTCCCTCTGGAAGGGGAAGGTCACAGCTGGGCTGACCTTGACTCTGAAATCTAGAGGCACCCATGGAAGGGTGGTTGAGAGATGCCTGCCTGTTGACTTGAGCAGGAGGAAGATGACTCTGTTGGGCAGACTCTGAAGTAACTGCAGTACTGTACCCACCTACCAAGTGGCCACTTAAGAGGACCGGCTCCGCTGAGCACTATACGTGCCCCACACGATGCAGCTGCCACCTCAATGTCAACTCAATAGACCTTCAGAGAGACCCTGAGAGGGGTCCCACTGCTTCCTCAATGCTGAAAAAGTGAGGACTGGTAGGTGCAGCAGTGCCAGCTCCTTCTTTCTGCTTCTCCTTCAAGGCCCCAGTAGGAGTGAGCATGCATTGTCAACTGCAGGAGCACAGCTGGTCACACTTAAAGAGCCCATGGGGATAGAAGTATCTGCAGAGGTGACTGCAGACAATGCTGCTGCATATTAGGTACCTACTGTGTGCTACTTCGGGGGCTGCTTTGAACTCCTCCTGAGAGCTCAAGGAAGGACTCTTCCTCCAGACCTAGGCCTGGCTAGTAGAGCAGATTCCTTGCTGGATCTGGGGCTGGGCTGCCAGAGGTCCTGGGTTGAGGCCCTCCTCTTTTGGGCTTCAGCATCCCCCAGGTACAGTGAAGGATGGAGAAGGGTGAGCACCAAGGCTACCTGCCCTGTGAACACAAGCCTTCTCACTAGGGTAGGTGGACAGACTGTTGGCTGAAGGCCCCAGTGACACCCTGCCCAGCCAGGGAAGCCACATTGCCCAATTCTGCCGTGGCTCCAAAGTCTAATGAATGTGAGGTGGTAGTTGTGGGGTGGGTGGATGAAAACCACATTGAGGCTGAAGTTCTAGTTCACATCTGTATATGAATGACCCAGATTTGTATTTCCTATTGCAACCCACTCACCCTAGTTAGAGAAATGGTTTACTGTAGTGAAGCTTGGGTAGTACTGTCCAGTCCACTGGGGTGGGAGACTGCCAATAAATTGCTAAGCAGGGTGTTCCTGGGGCAGTCTCTGCTTAGATGTGGGGCATCTCTTGACACAATGGCTCTTGAGCATCGGAGTTCTGACCCTGATTTAATTTGGGGGTTGGGGGAATGCAGAATCTGCTCACCCTCCGGGCTAGGTCTGCGTTGCTCTGCCTTGCCAGGCCTGTTTCTCAACCCAGGGTACCCTGGGCATGGTCCAGTTTGCCGAGCACCTGAGTTGACCCTGAGCCTGTCATCCATTCACTAGGGCTGCACACTGTGGGCTGCTGGTAGGGACGACACAATGGGAAATAATTCCTGTCTCCTTAGAGCAGGGGTAGCCCTCAGCTCTCCCTCAAAGGCAGAGGAGACAGCCAGGTTCCAGGGCTAGAGGAGGCAGGCTGCTGATCCTGCAACAATCCCCCACCATGGCTTCCTAGCACAGTGTCCCTAAGGAGAAGGCCTGGGCTGCAGAGGGAGGATGGTGTAGATCAGGGGGAGGAAGAGGATGGAGCAGCCTCTGAGAGCCTGACCACAGACAGCAGGAGTGGCCTGATGTACAGGAGTCAAGAGGACAGCTGAGGTCCGTGGCAACTGTCCCCAGCTACATCCTTCCTAGAAATGTCACTAGTGTTCTGAAGCCCAGGCAGGACAGATCAGAAGACAATGGAAGAGGACTCTCCTAGGACACTCATCCTTCCCCAGAAAGCCCAGAGAACCCAAGCTTTCTATCCTAAGTCAGATCAAATTGGGCCACAAGTACCCCTACCCCCACCCCTTTGCTAATTTGAGTTTAAAATGTTTGAACCACAATACGCCTTGGTCATGGAAAAACCCTTCTCTCCCTATGCTCGATCCCTAAACAGGAGCATAAAATTACATGTTAGAAGGATAAAAATGCATTCGCCCAATTAATTTTCTGAAATCTCATTAAAAAATTTAGTCTGACTGAGTCAGACTTCTGACCTGAATTTTAATCATCTTTACACTGGATAGGCCTCTTCTCCCTCATCTGGTGACGCATCATTAATTTTAAGGCAACTGTTTCTATGATTTTAAAAAGCACACTTCATCAGCATGACATTTCCTGTAAACGAATTTCACCTTTAAAGACATCTGACACCATGTGTATAGGGAACTTACAGGGGACTGGGTTTCTATGAAGCGAAATGTTTTAAATATGCATTGCATAAAGGGCTCAACTTACAAAGAGTCCACATTGTCAGACACGGCGAGGCCAACCTCGCTCAGCAGAGTGGCTGATTTCAAAACCAAAGCCAACCTTCATTCTTGCTCCCCCAGAGCACTGCTACTTCTCCTCTGAGGCAGAAGGACTCAGTGATCACACTGTTAGCACAATTCGTCACTTCCATCATCCCAGCCTAGAAGTCTACTACAGGCTTCATGGGCCATCGGCAATCCCTCACTAAGGGATTGCTTGTAGCACAGAGACATTCTGACAGGCACTAAACATCCGAACTGCAGCACCCCCTCCAAAAGACGATCCTGGCACCTAGTGAGTTGAGAGCTGCCAGCTAAGAGCACTGCCAGGCAAAGGCTGGAAGGTGGACACCAGAGGTCCTTCTCCATCTCCACCCCAGTGCAGTTGGCACTTCCATGTGGATACTACTCTGCTCCAATTTTACCCTTTGTAAGCCTCAGGCCTCCACCCTCAGGGATCTTTATAAAACCCACACTAGGTTCCACCATTGCTATGGGCTCAATTCAAGTGACCAAGCACCAGTTCTTTAATCTTGGCTGAAGAGGTAGAGGTAGAGGTAGTGGGGTGTGTGTGTGTGTGTGTGTGTGTGTGTGTGTGTGTGTGTGTGTGTGTGTGACCTGCTTGGCCTGCTTGTGGCTCTGGAGCCTATATTCTCTCTGTCATGTCCCTGATCCCTGGTCATCCACTGGACAAAACCAGCTTAGCTGCCCCATTCTCTGCTCTTCCTCAAGCCCTCCAGTTCCTTCCTTTTTATCTGTTTATAGAGGGGTCCCCAGTAAGTTGTGAGTCCCAAGGGTCAGCCCGTACTCAGATAAAGGCCTGAAACAATCTTTTTCTAAATTTATGATCAAAGCCTACACTCCTCAAGTGTGTGTGTGTGTGTGTGTGTGTGTGTGTGTGTGTGTATGTGCCCACACACACGTGCATGCGCGCATGGACAGTAGAGGTCAATGTCCACTGTCTTCTTCAATCATTCTCCACTTTACTTTTGAGACAGGGTCTTTCACTGAAGCCAGAGCTCATAAGATTCAGCTAGACTGGATAGCAGGTGAGCCCCAGAGGCTCACATGACTCCACTTTCCTGGTGCTGGGTTACAGAAGTTACCACTGTGTACAGCATGGCAAGTACTCTATTGACTGAGCCATTTTCCCAGCTCTTTGAGTTTCAATAGCCATTAATATTTGCTCATTAAACCTTATCCATTCACCATCACTTCTTTTTTGTTGTTTTATTTTTTTGTTTTTTGAGACAAGGTTCTTCGTGTATCCCTGGCTGTCCTGGAACGTTCACTGTAGGTCAGGCTGGCTTTGAACTCACAGAGATCCGCCTGCCTCTCACTTATCACCTCTTTGGGAAGGTTTGCATACAGATTTGGTCTGTGAAACACACACTCATGGATAGCCGCCCCCAGGCCCCTACAAAGTATGCACTGACTCTCTCCAAATAGAAGTCATCTCAGATTGCCCAGAGCAGGTTTCTGAAGATCTGTTGGCAGGGGCTTCTCACACAAGAAACCTTCCCCTGTCTATACAATTTGCATCATTCTTCATGGGTTGCTCCTTTTTGACTCTTATATAGCCATCACCAGAATCCCAGGTAAAGCCCAGCTTTCCTCCGTGTATGTGAACCTCACAGGCCAACGACATGGTTCAGCAAACAGATTTCCATGCACTGATGGCTCTCTCAGATTCTGTAAAGCCCCTGGCTTTGTGCCTGGAAGGCTAACAAAGCCATAGGTGGACTTCTAGGAGCTTCTGACCTTTCTGCCTCAAGAGGGTAGATTTAACTGTGGGAGCTTTGGCTTTGAAAACTGCAATAACTTTTCAATTATAAAACTTAAAGTCTACACATGGCATTTCCTGACACCCAGGGTGTTGGGTGCTATGCTGGAGTTTAAAGCATCACATCATTTGGACTTCACAGAAGTCTCAGGATGGAGGTGCCATTATTGCCCTACTCTACAGACGATGAAACTGAGGCTGAGAGGCTTTGCACCCAACCTCGGAGCAGGCAGAGCTTCATTCTGGGTTCTAGGGATGGCCTGCTGAAACACATGCCTCCTTCCATAAAGAGACATGACTTCACTGTCCTTTCCAAGTGTTTCCGTCTGCTGACATAGGAGAGGCTTGGCTGCCATGCTCCTCAGATGCGGTGCAAACATAGGCACTTTGTTAGAGGACAGAGGATGTTCCTAACCACCCTCCAACCCTGTGCCAGCCTGGAGTTTGCACAGCATACTAGGCCATGCACCCCAAGTCTCCAAGACTGGCCAGATGCAGGTGGGACTGGGGCATCCTTGCCTGACAGTCACTGCCCAGAGCAGCCAGCACTGAGTGATTGCATCTAATTATACTTAACTATGTCATCACCCACTCCAACATGTGCGACAATCTGCCGAGGACACTGTCACTGCTGCCTCCTCGCCTCTCCTCGCTTGAGAAATAATTACAGGCCTCTCTCCTCTGCCAAATGAGCCTGTAATTAACCCTAATTGCTCAAAATGCAACTGGCTAATTCTTGGAGATTAATCAAGGGGGATTCGATTGTTAGTGAATGACTTAATGTGACAAATGGCTACATTACCTAAGCAGGCCCTGCTGCCCCAGACATCAGCCTCATGTACTGGCCCAGCTCTGGAGTTGTGCCTCCCAAGATTCTACCTGGAAATGGACTATTACAATGAACACAGAGTACAAATGGCATAGATGTCCTAGGACTGTCCACATACTTGCACACAGTCCATGAGCTCATGTAGCATGTTTGTGTGGGTCTGCAGTAGGATCCTCTCTTGGGCTGACGTAGCCCTATGCCACAGATCACAACACAGTAAGACTGCAAGCACATACAAATTTAAAGCCCACTTAGCTCCCTGAGCTGGTGTCTGTGAGGTTTATAATTTACACGATGGGTAGACCCTTTAGTCCACCACCAGGAACTAGGATGCTAGAAACTGTCTTCCATGGTGAAGGAATATGGCTGTCTTGAATGTACCTCTAATTTAGGCCTCTTGGCCTTTAGGTAAAAAGCTGACCCTGACCACAGGGTCCTAAAGGATCTGGCCCAGTCACCAAGCTTGCTGCCCTGAAGGCCATTACCTGTCCCTTCCTTACAGTGGCCTGTCTGGCCCTCTCAGTTGCATCAGGTCTTTTGCTCGGGCTCTGGAATCCTGGGGTTCCTTCAGTTTGGTATTTTTATGTTTCTATCCCTGGAGGCTGTGTGCTTCCTGAGAGCTGATCTGGGCCTGCCTCACATAGCCACATCCTAGGCAGTACATTGCACACACAGGATGTATTTCTAAATACAGATGTATCTCGCTGACATCATGGCACAAAGAATGCATTTGTGCATGGGGCTAGAGACATCTTCCATCTAGTAGGAAGGGAAGACCACTGCAGGAATGAACATCTCAAGGCCAGAGCCATGTGGGGTGCACACACAGGTATGGGGGGCTCTCATGCATTGGAGGAACACATGTAGGTATGGGCCAAGGGCAAGAAGTCTCCTCAGAGAGTAGTATCTGGCCTTGTGGCTTGGAGGAAGACTGAGAAGGACATTCTAGGTCAGGGGACAGAGTGGGAAAAGGTATTAAGTGTGCCTGACACTCAGAGCCACCTTTAGAACATTACCAAAGGCAGCTGGGCCCTCAGAGACATCTAAAGCCAGGGTGAGGCGGGCACAGGGAAACGGAGACCACCTCTAAACCACAAGACTGAAGAGGGCTGAACATAATTTAGACCAAATCAGAGGCCGACAGCAGGAAGAACTTTCTGCTCATTCCTGAGTCCCTCCTCTCCTTGCACAGACCTGCAGACATGGAGCTGCTCCTCAGTGGAAATCTTTGAACTAAGCACAGGGCTTGAGGTACCCAGAAGCATTCAAGAGATGGGCAGCTATGCAGTTTCCTACAGGGAAGGAGGGGTTGGGTGAGGGACCCTCAGTGTGCCTGGGAGACAAAAGAATGGGCTTACCTGTGGGTCTTGAGGGGGCGCAGGCCCCAGTGCATGGCAGAGGTTGTTCGGACTCCCTCCATGGGGCATGTGGCTGGGCTGTCCTGCCATCCTGCATGCCAGCCTCACGAGGTCACAGGCTGTAACAGAAAATAAGGACCTGGTGACTTTCTCCTCTTGGCCACTTGTTCCATTTTATAGATGGATGAGCAGAGAGCACGGGTGTCACTGTGCTCACTGTCACCTATTCATAAGTGACCAGTCTAGGACTCAATTCCTCAGGATATCTTCTCTGTATAATATACTGCCTCAGTTGCTAGGATTGTCCATTGTAAGGGGGAAACTGAGGTACTCTGCAGGGATAAGAGAACTGTCCACTCCAGGCCAGCCAGGAGCCCTGTATTACTCACTTTCCTGTGGCTGTGATAAAACACCATGACCATGAAAGTTTATTTTGGCTTACAGTTCACATGGTTAGCGTCCATAATGGCAGGGACAACATGGCATCAGGCATGGCAGCCAGGGAAATTGAGAGCTTACAACCACAGCATGAAACAGAGAGGGAATAGGAAGTAGGGTGAGGCTATATAATTTCAAAGCCCGCCTCCAGTGATGTATTTCCTCCAGCAAGGATATACTACCTAAACCTCTCCAAAAGCAGCACCAACTGGGAACCAAGTGTCCAAATACCTGAGCCTACTCGAGAGGTTTCTCATTCAAAGCACCATGAGACCCCACATTCAACCCCACACTACCAAACACTGAAGCCTGATTTTTTTCCTACACACTTTCAGTAGAGGCCTAGTTTGTTTTGCTGTCCCCAACATCAGCACATAAAGCCAAGTGGGCAGCCTGAGTGGCCAGGAAAGAGAACAAAACCAGACTCTGGCAGCACCTTCAGGGATGACCTCACATCCCCATCCCTGATGGACCCCAGTGTACAACACTGGAGGGCCTGGGTTCTGTGTGAACCTCCAACAGGGTAGCTCTCCTGGACAGGCTGATAATGCTCCCACTATGCACCCAGGCCTGAGCAAAAGGCCACTGAGTGTCTCCCCTGTTGTTACTTCTACTTCTGGAACTAGAGGCAGCTTCTGGCTTTCCCACCATACAAACCTCTCTGGGGCAAAGACCAAGGCAGATGTGCATGGAAGTTTTCTGGCTGGGAAAGACCTGCACTCAACCCCATGATCCTTTTCTGTGGGAAAGCCTGCATGCACCCCACAGTATGTCTTTAACACCTTCCATGTGTCAGACCTGGGCTCAGGGTCCCACGAGGCACATACAGAGGCATCAGTGTAGCTCAGGCAGTATGAGAGCCCCATAGTATCCACAGACCCACCCTTGTGTCCCAATCTCAGTCTGAACTCCAGGGATCCTGACCCAGGCTACTGAGCAGCTGTACGATAGTCCTCAGGGAGCCGAAGTCCCTATGTATCTTGGATGACCTTCCTAACATCTCCAGGGGATGAGCATACAAGCACACACGCTGGTCAGTCCTGTCTCCTGTAACTCACATGCAGGGCCCTAGCTAAGAGATTGTTTGCACCAGCCCATTTCCTGTTACTATGCCAAAATGCCTGAGTCTGGACAACTTTATAAAGAAAAGTCTTACTGAGCTCACAGTTTTTGGATATCCAAGAGCTTGAAGCCTGTGTCTCATCAGCACTGGCAGGAAACTCTTGGTAGCTCACATTACAGTGTCAGGGACTCCTGTGGAAAGGGTAGATCACATGGCCAGACAGGAAGCTAAGCAGTCATTCATTCGGGGGTCAGATTTGAGCTTTTATAACAATTGAATTTCCTGAGAAACAATCCTTCCTGGAGGCAGTGCCCCGTGACCTGATGACCTCTCACTAAGCTCTACCATTTAAAGGTCCTACCATCTCTCAATAGCAGTGAGACAGGAACCAGCACACTTCTGTGGTTAGAACAAATACCCTGCAGATCTGGTTGGGCTGTAAGTTTCTCCCCAACTCTCTGAGTCTGTTACCAGCTATACCAGCCAGGACTGATTGTAACTTCTGGGTGCACCAACGGCACCTAGCGCACAGCAGTGTGCACCCTGGCCTCCAGCACCATCCCGCCTGTATCCTAGGGCAGTCCTGTACCTCCATTACTCTTTGAGTGGGTACAAATGTGTGGATGGGTACATATCTGTGTGTGCATCTAGAGGGCAGACGTAGACGGTGTGTCTGCATCAGTAAGTTTCCTCCTTATTTTTGGAGACAGTCTCAGTGAATCTACAACTCACTGACTTGGTTACAATAGCTGGCCAGCAAGACCCAGGGACTCTCCCCTTTTTATCTCCCCAGCATGTGTCACCACACCTAGCTTTATATGTGGGTGCTAGGAGCTGAACTTGGCTTCTCATATGTGCAGCAAGGGCTTTCCAGACTAAGTTGTCTCCCAGCCCCTCTTGTTCTTTTGGGCACTTTATCATACTCTGCAGCACATAAAATCAACAGAAAGTGAGGCCACAAGAGGACAGAGACAGCCTGGAGAGACCCTGACAGCAAGGGTCTCTACCAAAACAGCCATTCCTGGCCAGCTATTCATGTAGACTCCTGTCTGTGACATTAACCATCTTCGTTGTGGCTTGTCCTCACATGATACATGCAAGTGTCTCTGACTGGGGATACATGTGGCATCACAGGTGGGCCTCTCCTTCCCAGCACCCACCCACATAAGCCTTACAGTGATGCAGATGGGCCCAGATGCCCTCAGAATCTTCCATCCTCCCACCATCTAGCTGAGCATCCTGTGGCAGCACTACCACCCCCAGAATGACATGGTGGAGGACTGGGTACAAAAAGCCCCAGGATAAACAGATAAGCACGGGGAAGCTTCCTCAGGCACTGCTGTTACTCAGGGGGAAAACCTGTGACAACAAACTGGGTATGAGAGTGAGCCCAATGTAAAATGCGCATGAATTTGAAGATGAAACCAGACTCTCCCGCAGGCTTAGCAGCTGGTGCGGGCAATACCCTCAACACCCTCAGGGTGACATGTTCACCGTCCTCTGCCCTTAGGGGTACCTCTGGGAAAAAGTTGGAGAACTGTCTTCAGGAGAAGGTTCCATCTTTATCTCAGGCTCTAGAATGGGTCCACAGGTTGTCCTGTCCTGACCATTCACATATCTGTTCTGCCTGTTTGCCTGTCTGGACCCTGTCTGAATTCCCCTTCCCTCGTCCTGCCTTGCCTAGCTGCAGCCCCCAGGTGTTTAGGGCCTGGGCATGAGGGGTTGTGTGTGAATCTGTACTCTTTCACTTAGCAGCTGAGACCAAATCTTGCTGAGGTGTCTGGCAGTTGTTTGGGAAGGTCATGCCTCCTGGATCAGGCATCCAAACAGCTACGTGGAATCAAGGTGCCAGGACCATGACAAAGAGGCCCAAGCCATCTCAGAAATAACAGATAACGATGACGATAGTTGCATGGGCCCTTAATATGTCCTTCATCCCTGTAAGCTTTAACACAACTCCCCAAGATACAGGCTGTAATCATCTTATTGAACAAATGAAGAAACTAAGGTACAAGGAGGTCGAAGGCATGCCTGGGTCACATGGACTAGAACCTAGTGGGACTAGGACTTAGAACTAAGGTAGCAACCTTTTTCTGACCCACCACACTGTCATCTTTTCCAGTGGAACTCTCTAAATAAGCCCTTTCTCCACTTAAGAGCAATGTGCTGCCAGTGCACAAGACTGGGGATAAGTAACCCTACGGCTGTTGTCCACAGAGGGCATTTCATCCCAATGGGCACTGCCCTCCAGATCACACCCAGCTACTGTCCACATCATCTCTTCTATCAAAGGCCTGGCATTGGCAAAGTGCTGCTACTCAGTACAGTCCCAGGCACAGCCCAGGAGCACCTGCCACAGTGTTCTCCAGGAGGACCACTCCAGATAGGAAAGAGTCTAGCAGGGAAGGAGGGAGACCCTTCTTTATGAATCATGCTTCCCACACATCTGCATTTTATAGGTAGGGAAACTGAGGCTCAAAGCCATTTTCCCAGTAAGCTACAGGTGAAAATTTGGATTCAGACTTCAGGGGCTCCTCCCAAGGCTTTGGTTGTCCCCCAAGGAATATCCAAAGGGCCTTCTTTCCGTAATACCCCACTGAAAACGCAACCTCCTCACACCACACATTTCTACAAAAAACCCAAAAAACAAACAAACAAAAAACAGCAACAACAACAAAAACCAAACAAACCCTGCTTCTTCCAGAGTCAGATGCAGGAAGGCTGCAATAAAGGGCATCTGGAAGAAGATGGAGAGTGCCCAGGCAGACCAGAGGGACATACTGTGAGCAGTAGGGGAGTCTCTTAGCCCTCTGACCCTGGGGGTCCCAGGATCCCCCAACCCCTGCCAAGTTGCAGAGCAATGAGGCAGTGACTGCCAAGCCCAAGCCAGGGGCCAAAAATCTGTGGAATGTGACTCAGAGCCACAGGCCTCACTGAATCAGACCACCTTTCCTGTCAAGTGAGTTAGTGCCTGCGCTCTGAGGCACTGTACCATGTACATACCATGTGCCTTTTACTTAGGCTCCTGGCTTTGGTGAAGAGTAACACAAAGCTGTTATGTGTCTACCAGGCAGCCAGAGATGAACCTGGAACAACCTAGGGCTTAGGAGGGGCCTGCATGGCTGAGTTCAAATGTTAGCTCATTTTCCTATGATCAGGGCCTCAGTTTCCACACACGGGAAATGGGTGAACCATCAGATGGACCTCTAGGAGTATCTAGGTAGACTGTATATTTTAGAAGATGTACACTAGGAACAGAGCTGGGTATGTGGAAGGAGTCAGAAGCTCTGGATGCTGTAAGCATTATTTATGCTAACCCTCAGTGAGTAATGAAGGGTAGCTGCCTCTACACATGGCAGTCGTGGGGGCTGTGGCTCAGTCAGGGCCAGACATTTGCCCCAAGTCAGAAAGACACCCCGTTGCACATGTCTTTCTTCATGTAAACTGTGGCCACTCTGCCTGGCTCGGTCAAAGCCCTCACTAATGTGGCAGGAACCCTGAGGAGTCAGAGCAGGATGGGTGTTGTTTTAGGATGAACTCTAAGTTCCAAGTAGCCTTTCTCCCAGGACTGTCACCTGGCCCTTGCCTCCCAAGGTGTCTTCATCTTGGGGTAAGTTTCACTTTTATCTATGGCCAAACAC